GTTTGTTCGCCCCATTTCCAGCCTCGACCTTTTCGGTGATGCTGCCCTTTGTCACACGACCCTTCCAGGTGCCCACGGCGCTCGGCCATTCTGGCCCAGCATCTTCGCTTTTGAACCAAGCCACCATGGAAGACGGGTCCGCGGGCTGAAATAACGACACCTTCGAAGGCTTGTTTTCTCTCTCGCGCTCTCTCTGTCTCTCTCTCTCTCTCTCACTCTCTCTCTCTCTCTCTTGTGTGCGCGTCCATCTCTCTTCTTCGACTCAGCCCCAAACCTCTCTCTCTCCTTGTCTCTCTCTCAAACTCTAAAGCATGTACTACCCGCTACCCTCTGCCTCAACACCAAATGCCCTGCCTTGTTCACCATCCCCTTCTCCAGCTTGTCCGCATTCTTATCATCGAAATCGCGCAGAGCCTCCTCGGCTTTTCCGCGGCTGCCCGACGAGATGAAGGGCAGGGCCCTGTCCGCGGATTCAAAGGCTGCAGGAGCAAGGGTCCGTGCTTCAGAAATTTTCGGTTGATCTACAAGAAGAACCCGCTTTATTCCGAAACCCTACGTCTCAATGGCCCACCTGAGGATGGAAGAGAACTGCTCGACGATGTTCACGAGCGGAATCTTCGTCGATGGGCTTTCGAAGGGGCCCAAGCCCATCTGCACCTGAGCAGCGTCCCAAAAACCGAAACAAACTGCTGAAAGCGTGGAGTTAAAAACATGAAGCAAGACGAAACAAAGAAGAGAAGTCCGAGAGCCCGAGAACTCAGGACACCGAGCTGAGCTGGGAGACAGGAGGGGAGCGTGCCTATGAGGAAGCAAACAAAAACCGACAGTCGAGCAGTAGAGGGCAGGTTCCGGGTGGAAACCAGCCGGGAAGCGTTCGGGGGTTTGGGGTTGATGCATGCTGCTAACGGGGTCAAAGCAGCGGAAAAAATTGGACAATGGAAAGCTTCATTCAAGTGCCAGTCCCAGTTACACCCAGCTCCAGGATGCCATCGGTGTAGAGCCCCTGCTTCAGAGCATCATGCTTGAAGAACTCCTACACTCCTCCCGAACCCGCACCGGGCAGTGCAGCCAGTCACGGTTCGTGACCCCGGGCCTCCAGCGCGAAGTTGACCATTCCGGGATGCTTGAAGCGGAAAAGCTTGTGCGACTCCTGCTTGGAGCTCGGAGCTCTGCTGACGTCAAAGAGTTCAACAGTCCCGCAGAGTCCAGCGACGCTCCCGTCGCAGCGAGCCTTGAACACCCGACCGAAGGCTCTGGGGACAACCCGGAGCACAAGCCCAGGGCAAAACCCTGTCTGCCCGGGCTCCTTGGATTGCTGCAGGGCACTCAGGCGGCGGTGCGCGGCCGGGCCGCGCAATTCGGAGGTCTTGTTGACGAAGAGTTCTGGTCCATACCTCGGGGTCACTACGACGGCATACAGTACAACGATCTTGAAGGCGCAGTCGCCAGGCCATGCGGCTATGCCAGTTTCAGCTTTCCTTGCAGTCCGGGAGGCTCCGCAGATGCCAAATAAAGCTCCTCGCGTTCAGCTTGGGTTCGAGTCTTCTTTAGGTTTCGGCTCTTCGAGCCTGGGGCCCCGCTTGCCCGGTCCTCCGCGTCGACCCACTGCATTGCGCCCTCCTCCTCGGCCTGAGACTACGGAGAGCAGCCGCGTTGGGACAAAGACTGTCTGCACTTGTTGGGACAAGCGCTCTGGCCTTCTCGTCGCTGGTCGTCGTGTTCGTCTGCAAGAGCTTCGGGCTGCGCTTCATGAGCTCTCAAAGTCCGACCCCCACTCCAGCCCAAGCTGGCTGCGGAAGGTTTCGATCCCGGAACCGAGGTTGCTGGCCTTAAAGTCCGTGCCGTCGCCGAAGCGCTTCGCCAAGCGCAAGGTGCGGCCGAAAAGCAGGATGCCCATAGTGCGCATTTCAAAGCGGAGGGCGCTGATGTCCACCCCGCCTGGGTGATGCTTCGGCCAGCAAATTTGGGTGTCGAACTCAAAAAAGGGCGTTGGAAGCACGTCAAACTGAATGCCCCCCACAAAAGCCGCGACGGGCTGCAAGCCCATGGCGAAGGTGACGGTAACACACTTCTCGATGTTCGACTTCGATGTGTAAAAGGTGTAACCTTGCCACTTGTCCCAGTTCTTCTGCATCCACGTGTTGTCACAGGGCACAGCCCATGGCTCCAGCTGCAGGAACTTGTCCTTGGTTGTTGAGAACTGTTAAGAACGCTTTGAAAACCTGCAAAAGACATCATGACTGCCGAGATCGAACTCATAGTCCAGCAAGGGTCGTTGCTGTCCACCACCCAGTCTGCTTTCGTCGCCTTTTTATGAGTTATGAGTTTAGGACCGTTTAGGGCTTCGGGTTTGGGATTTAGGATTTGGTCGCCTGGTTGCCGGTGCCGGTCTTGGTCCGTGGCGCGAAGGCCAGGCAGGAGCCGGTGTCCGTCTCCTTGCCCTCGAACCTGACTCTTCAGAAGCTTGCTGCGCAGGAACAAGACCCAACAAGTCTCTAGAGACCAACTTCATACGAGCAACCCGCCCACCGAAACTAGAGTAACTGGAGCTGAGGGCCCTTTCTGAAGAGAGTGCCAAGGAGCTGTGTGACCAGCCCCGTGGTCTCGGGCCCATAGGGTCCGACCTTGAACGTGATCGCGGCATCACTATCGTCATCACCGCCTGCCCGCACATTGGCGCCCGTCTGCCTCTGCTGCTCTCTCGCTCGGGAGCTGTAGAGTGGAGTCTTTCAGGGTTTGGGGTTGTTTTCTTTTCTGACCGAGCTGCAGCGCCGACGTCCGCTTCGGCACCTCATGTGAATGCGTCTTGATGACGAGGTTCTTGTCGGCGTGGTGCAGCGCAGGCGGCCTGCCCACCGGACGTGGCGGCCGTCTGCACGAAGCCGAGGCCCTTGTCCATGGCAGTCTTCACGACCGAAGTGGCATACTTATTGTTCGAAGACCGTGCTTGTGATGTGCTTCACTTGTTGTTTACAACTTAACATCTCATGCCACATGTTTGAGCA